TTAAAGCAAATTGCTGAGACTTCCCGCGCCCTAATTTGAATTTTTAGAAGCTTTATTTTTTTTGAATTTTTTGAAAATTGTTTGTTTTTTCAAAATTTTGAAATTTAATTTTTTTTAAAAAAAAAATTAACTTTAAATTTAAAAAAAGTGCATGAGTGCACATTGCAACGAGTCTTATTACATAGCGAATTAAAGCTTCAAAAAATGTTATTTGGCAAATAATATGTGATAAATGTTGTTCATTACTATCAATTTAATTTATAAACTGTGCTACTATAAATTTAACATTTTTTATATTTTTAAATATTTAACATAATACTTTAACTTTTAATAAAATTGACAGAAAATATTGGATTAAAAAAAAAAAAAAAAATTAAATTTATTTTAGGTTCCACTGAATTACGACTACAGCCAAAACCCATAGATATTAATTAGAATATTTTTTTTAAGAAATTAATGTATTTTATTGATATGTCACAAAATGTGTACGCATTATGTAAATCTCTATAAAATATCTGATAATTTGATGTACATATATCCAATAAACATTTTTGACCACCAAATGACATTTTTTTTTAACTTATTTTGATTGAGAGTCCATAACAGCTGGACCTGCCTTACCAAAAATTTAATCAGTTCTCCCTCTTGTCAATACAAGTAAAATTTTTGAATGCAATAAATTATTAAAATCGGGCACTCCGTTCTCTTGAAAACTGAGTTACCATTTTTGGCACTTTTTGTCCCATATCTTCGGAAGAGCTAGACCTGCCTTCGCCAAAACTAATCAGCACGTCTCCTTATCAATACGAATCGAATGTTTTTTCTAATTATTCAAGTCGGTTGATTCGTGTTCCCGAAATCGTTGAATTTGTATCCGCACACACGCACATACACATACATCAATTTTTTCTAAGGTATGCAGAAATGTTCAGAAACCTTTGAAACGTAAAGATATATAAAAAATTTCATTTTCGATTTTTTGCGATTACTATAACTTGCCCTACGGGAAGTTAATTATACAAAAAATTAAAAAAATATATTCAGTTTAGTTATTAATAAAAGTAGAGAAAAAAAACGCCTAAGACACTAAAAACTATCTTTAAACAAGAAAATATTATATGAATTAACTACAGCTGACTGACAAAATGAAAATTTTGGTGTTGTCCTTTATAAATTTTCATATTGTTAATATAGGCTAAATTAGGTAGAAAAATACTAGTCATTTTAAGAAGAAAACAATTTGCATATAGTGCACCAAAAAGCTTGATTTATTATTAACACTTAGAATTGAATAATTACCCATTTGCATCATTAGATAAAATTTCCTAGATTACATAATTTTCCTTTAACCATCGCTGAATGTTATATATTATACATTTAATTTTTTTTAAGATATTTTGAATATTCATATTTCCAAAAACAGATCATTTCACGTGTTCAAACAAAATTTTCAAAAAAAATCATTGCAAATAATATAGAAAAAAAAACAAATAGTTTCTGAGTAAACCTTCCCAATAGTCAAGCCTTTTACTATTACAAAAAAGATCAAAAGGGTTGCGCGACAGTCAGCTTGATATCAGACATCATTATATCAACTTCCCACTTGAGGTTATAATTCTCAAGTATAATCTGAAGTGAAAATCGCTTTTGGAGGTAGCTGCATAAAAAATATGAAGTCAAAAAATACTATCAAGTGTATTCATAATTTGTCACAACTTGAAGAGGACTACTGGATTTCCTTACAAAAACACAAGCCTAAGTGATTCAAAATATAATAAAAAAAAGTATTACGTTGTTGTTTACAAAAGAAAAAAATTACTAGTGAATTAATTGTGAGGTGCTTACAAGCATCCATATTTCAAATATTACCATACTGAAACCAAGTTTGATTCAAAATCTTTTAATATTTTCATACAATTTTACTACCTAAGTATGAAATTTAAAAAGTCCATGACCTGGTCCTTTTCTCATATTACCATGTGATTAATAATTACAATATTATGAATATTTACATGAATCTTATTATTAAAATACCTCAAGCTATACAAATTTCATAGTATCATAACAAGTTACTGGAATTACTGAAGCGTAAAATGCTAACAAGAAAAGATACTGTGAAATCTTTGTATAAAACTATTCAGTCGCTATCTTAACGGACACTTTGAATACTTAAAAGTTAAATGACGAGTCTCTGTATAGTTTTTTTTTAATTGCCTTTAAATTTCATCATCGAAATGTTGCGCAAATGTATAAAGCATATCAATTTAGTTAAGAGAGATACAATTCCATATGACTCACTTGGAAAACCTTTGAGGAGGTCTGTGTGGGGACAAACCAGATCACGTTTGAATTAAGGAAAAAACTAGCTGTAAGTGGAATTCTGTCTTAAGGCAATTAAGGCATCGTGCCTTAAGGCAAATTGCTGGAACTTCCCGTACCAAAAATTATTATTTTTTTAAAAACGATTAACATTTTTGAAAAAAATTTACTTTGAAAAAATAAGATTTTTGAGAAACTATAAATTGGACAAAAAATTACTTTTTTTTGAAAAATTTTTTTCTTTATTTTGACATATTGTGGAAGATCTGAACTTTTTTTTCAAAGCAATCGTACTGCTTTAACTGCATAGGGACAAAATATAAAGCGCGTAAGCGCCGCGTCACTGTCTAACGCATAAGCATTGGTACGGAACCCATAGGAATGTTAACAAAATTTATACTTATTGTTAAAATCTCTATAAAATATCTGATAATTTGATGTGCATATGTCTAATGATCATTTTTGACCGCCAAATGGCTCTTTTTTGCATTTGAGACGTGCTTATTAGTTTTTGGCAAAGGCAGGTCCAGCCGTTCCGAAGACACGGGACAAAAAGTGCCAAAAACGTAACTCAGTTTTTAATAGAACTGAGCGTCCGATTTTAATAATTCAAAAAACATTTAACTTGTATTGACAAGATGAACTGATTAAATTTTTGGGAAGGCAGGTCCAGCGGTTATGGACTATCAATAAAAATAATTTAAAAAATTGTCATTTGGCGATAAAAAATGTTAATTAGACATATGTATGTAAATTATCAGATATTTTATAGAGATTTTAATAATGTATACACATTTTGTGTAATTTTTTTGGGTTCGGTACCAAGATTTTTAATTACGGTACGGGAAGTTCCAGCAATTTACCTTAAGGCATGATGCTATGCAGCCCACTAGTTTTTTACTCATTTTATAATGGAGCTTACAAGAAAAAAATATTGTATCTCGATTGATACTTAAGAAATAAAAAAATATTTAAGAGTAAATAATCGTTTTAAATTGAAAGTATTTAATATTGCAATTAAAATATTTTAATATTGCAATTAAAATCGTTTAATATTTCAATAGTTGTTGTTATCGTAAACAAACAAACTGTGCATTTTTAGTAAATCATTTGATTAGAAATATATTTTCCGATACGAAAATGAGGTAATTGTTGTACAAAATAAATTTGATTTTTTCTAAAATATAATTTTAATTATTCTCTGAACTAATGCCCTGATGCCTTAGTAAACAATAATATTCTCATTGATTTACTATTTTTAATAAATGTAAATACTAGAAAATATTTTTTCTATATTTTAATTATAATAATATTTCTGAAGTAAATTAACGACCTTAAAGTTACTTAGAAACCGAGAAATAATAACGATAAACAATTACAATATTGAGACAATTTTTCTCCTAAATATGACCTGAAAAATATTCGGTCATGTTAAATTTTGTATACACGTTCAATGTATTTTTTTACAAATAAATTAAAAAATAACTTGTTAAGAGCATTAATTTCAATAATTTTGATAACCCTCACTTTTAATAATATATGATTGATATGAAGAGTTCAATAATATATGATTAACTTCATATTTCTTACTATTATTAAAGGTGAATTGGTAAGTGAAATATTAAGATAGTAATTAATGTTGTGTAACTATGAGTAAAATTTATAAAATTATATGTGTATAATCAAAAAATACTTAACGCTTTAATCACAAAAATACTTAATTATAGTTTAATTTAAATAATAATATTTAAATTACTCTCAAGCTTCTGCAATTATGACGAATATAAATCATTTATAAATCCAGAGTAACGAGTCATTGTACTGACATGCCGACTATTATTCAAATTTAAATTTGTTTTGTATATCTTATCAAATACTACACAGACGTTAAATATTATAATGAAACAATTAAATATAAAAAACAGAAAATGAAGATTATTTGCAATAAATTACTCATAAAATTTTTATTGAAGCTATAAATAAAACACTGATTGAAGTATTTGATAAGCTATGAAGAATAAATTTGTTCTAATCATTTTGGCACAACATGATTATTTTTCCGGGTTGATAAAGAGTTTATAAATACAACAATTTCCAAAAAAGTACCCCACAATAAGATTTTTTTGTATTAATAAAAAAAATTAGATTGTGATTGTAAATGACGACAAAAACAATATTGATAAATTAACTGGAATATAGTAACTTTTTTTTGTTACTTTTATTCAAAGGTAGTTTTAGAAATTTCCATACAATTTAGATATAGTTGTACACTATATAGGAAGTGTTGTATGCAAGTAAGATTTTGTAAGAAGTCTTTGCAAGAATACACAAATCAATATTTTACGTATAAACCAAAAATATTTAATTTTATTTATTCTAAGAATATTCAAGAATTCTCACTTTAATCTCAGTTTAGAATCATGCACAAAAGGTGCAACATACTACAAATAAAGTTTCAACACGTTCTGTGAACTCAACGAAAAGAACTCATTAATTACAATAAGTTCAAAATAAAATCAGCAAATCATAAATTACAATATGTTAATACTTCATTCGCTAATCCATTAAAGGTACCTGTCACACAAATTATCCTCAAAAAAAGCTAAAACATGTTCAGTTTATTTCATAAACATACAAAAGCAATATATGACAAGTAGCTGTACACATAAACATAGACTCACCTCATTTTATCACTTTAGAGTCCGTTTTGTATAAAAGATCACTTGAATTACATTTAAGTAACGTTTAAAATATATCACAACACAGATTATACTATAAAACTACTTATGTCTTAATTAAAATTATAATTCCTAGTGGTTAGCATACAACAATTGCGTGACTGCCAAAGGCAGAAGCGGCCATCTTCAGATTCATGACCAACCCTGAATTGAGCCAATGAGAAAAGACATGCGCGCAACATACTGCGCAGTAGATAATAGAGCGGGAGATTTGAATTTGTTTTCAAATTTAAGCATAATTTGAACTGAATGTGATTAATAACTTATATAATATGAATGATTTATAATACTAAAAACATCATTTAGATAAAAATATAACTTGAAATCAAAAGTTAAAAATAAAAATATAACTTGATATCAAATACTTGATAAAAATATTTATTTTTCTTTAAAGTTTAAGGCTGAATTACTATTAAAACTTTGGAAATAAAAATATTGTGTTTTCAAATGTTATTTTAATACTACTACATTATATTCAGTAAGCGTTGAATATATTAATTTTATACCTGTATTGAATTCAATCAATTAGTGCAAACAAAAAGATGAACTTGAATTCTTCATTGTCATCAAATCATGTTACATACTCAAAAAAAGTAGTCTTATACATTCAATAAAACTATGTTATCTTAGAAATAATTTTATTATATTGATTAATTCTTGATCTTCAAGTCTAAGAGTATTACAATATTATCAATTCTTTGAACTAAGCAAATTAGATGCAAGCAAACATTATTTGCTTTGCTTTGAACATAGTAAATATATTGCAAATAAAATAAGGAGCAATTATAATTATCACAAATCAGACCTAACTCAAAATATTATGTATTAGATTCAAATATTTAGATTTCTGAGTAATATGTAGTTATTTCACACCACACTTATAAATAACACACTTCTTTCTTTTCAATAAATTTAAATTTTGTGATTATGAATATATTATTATACACATTTCGTTCTTTTAAATAAATTTAAAGTTTGTGATTATAAATATATTATTATCCTAAAATATACAAGATCCAGTCTAATTGTACTATGATTATTTCTTCGAACATCAAACAGGTAAATATCTTAAATACTAATTGTAAGTAAGCATGAGAAGCAAAAACCAACAAATGTTTAATGTTTTTACAAAATAAAAAGCAAACTCACTGCTAAAATAAGATAGTAAAATAATATATAAATCAAGAAAGTTTAATTTCTTAATTATTTGTAAATATTGTGCATGAGAATAGTCATTTACATTTTCAGCCAATGTATTTATATACAATTTATTATTATGTCAAATAACAGATATGACAAATAAGTGTGTTTAATATCTGTTATTGCGATTGTGATATCCTTGCTGGTTATTACCTTGATTATAGGAATTTTTCTGTTGATAACCGCCACTTCGTCTAGAATTATTATATGACTGCTGATTGTCACTTTCATAATTGCTTTGATTGTAACTTCCTTGATTATGTTGACTATAGCCAGTAGAACTTCGATTATAGCTATTATCATTCCCCTTATTGTAGTTGTCGCCTTGGCTGTAACTTTTAGAGCTCTGGTTATAGCCACCTCCACCTCCTCTGTTGGAACTACCACCTTGGCTGTAACCACCACCTCCTTGGTTATAGCTGCTGCTTTGACTATAATTATCTTGGCTATGACCACCACCACGGTTGTAAGAACCTCCACTGCCACCTCCACGGTTACTAAAATATGAACATTGTCATTTACTCAAAAAATAACAAATAAATACATTGGGAATTCGAAACAACATATATTCATAAGAAAAGTAGTTTAAGAAAATTTTGTATGTACTTTACTGATATAATTGTTAATATCTTATATTACAGAATACACTGTACACTGTAAATTATATGGGATTAGGCAAAAATAATTAATGGATTTCTGACAACCATAGTTTCTAAATGGATGGGGGTAGAAAAATAAGCTAAAAAAAGATCGTACAATAACAGCCCTCAAACTATTTGTGTCTTAAAAAAGTGCTGAAAGCAGAAATGGCAAACACACCACCTTAAAATTTTTTCCACAAATAAATTTTAATATATTATTAACATTCAGCAATAACAAACTTTAGGCTAATATTGTCATTTAATATTTACAATTCTTGGAAATCAATCAATTTCTGCCAGACCCTTCAATTACTAATACTAATAATATTTAAATCAAAAAGCAGTAAATAATGAAATTGGGATTGCAGTAATAGCTTTCAAGTAGCCAAGCAATTCAAAAAGAATAATGTAAGTAAAAAATATCACTTTTTTAAATTCTAGTACATCCAAACCAAACTATCACATGATATGTAATGTATGCCGTACCAATAAAAAAGATTATTCCGTAGAAATAAAAAAAAAAGCGTTTTATTTACTACTTTTATAAAATTTAAAATTAAAGTAGCCTAAGTTACTCCCAATTACTTAAGCTTTCTGTCAATAAAACTGACAACAAAATCCGTACAGCCGTTTCGAAGTTTAGCCCAAATAGACAGGCAGATAGACAAAAATTTTAAACAATGTTAATTTGGTATATTTACACTATTTATATTCATATGCATGTGTTAGAAAACGCCTGTTTTAATATTCCAAAGAGTCAATCTAATTTTAAAGACAAGATTATATTAGAGATTCGCGATGAACTCTAATATATAATTGAAGTATTTATATGAAATAACACACAACATTATCAACATATATAAAGCTTGTTTGCAATACCATTTATGTAATATTTATATTCTATAATTTACATCTAGTATACTAAACACATTACATCTAAAATATTCATTACCTATAACCTCCACTCAAGTTAGACTGGTTGGATGACTGTTGGTTCCATTGTCCCTGCACTCTGCTTGTCCCTCCTCCTTGATTGCCACCAGCATATTGATTTTGTTGGAAACCACGATTTTGGCCCTGATTTTGTGAAAAACCACCTCTTCCACCTCCACCCTATTTCAAATAATAAATTTGTTATTTATTTATTTTAAATAATAATTTTTTGATATCCAATATTTAATAAAAAACAAAAAACAACAGTTTGTACTCTACAACAAAATAAATAAATTAGAATAACAATAATAAAATCTTTTATATATCTTACTTGTCCACCCCTACCACCTCCAAAGCCTCCTTGGGGTTGAGGAGCTCTCTCTTTTTGCCAAGAGGGCATTTCAGGTGGAGGAGGAGCATGTTCATCTGGACGTCCTCCTCTATCAGGAACCTACAAAATATTTATTTAAATTATAGAGTGTTTCCTACTATCAACCTTCAAACAAATTGAAATAAAATTAAAATTATAGAATGTATTAAATAACAATAAGTAATAAGGTACAATATCTGGGAGTTTATAAATTATTAATTTAAAAGTAATTAAATTTATCTATGGTTGATTGTTCTGATTGCATTCTATCAAGATTTGCAGTCTCTTTTGATAACAATATATAATAAAAATACATAATACAGATATTAAGGCAATAAAAGTAAAATGTCAATTTCAATATATCAAATATGCAATATGTAAGGTATAATGAAAAAATCTAATTATTTGACATATCCAATTTACACCATGAATGACTTCTATTAGAAAAATGTGATTCTGTTTTACTTTACAAAAAAAACACAGCTAAAAATTTGTAAACCTAATAAGAATAGATTCTATTAAATAAATACAGGCAATTCTATTAAATAAATTAGAACTTCAATATAATAGATCGATGCAAAAAATATTAGAAAAAAAACGTGAAAAAATGCAAACATTTTTACTTATTTAAATAAAATAATATAAAATTGAAATGTACTACTTACCCTGCCAATTATAACTTTTTGTATATCACATTTAGTATTCTTCCTAACATTAGCATTGCTTGTTTTCTCAAGAATAGCCAAATCATCTCTAGCAGCGAGAAGGTGACTGAGATTTACTTCAAAAGTATCTGTATCTATTGTATTTCTCTTGGTAGTGTATATTCTTGAAATATTATCTTCGTGACCAATTGTACGTTCAGACCACTAGACAAATGTAAATACACATATTTATTATAATATATATATATATATATATATATATATATATATATATATATATATATATATATATACAGTACAGGCCAAAAGTTTCCGGACACATGAAAAAATCTCATTTTCTGAGTTTTTAGCTATATTTTTCATATTAAAATAATTTTATTCAAGTTAGTTTTGTACATTCTACATAGTATTAATATTTAGTGACTGATTTGTAACCAATTTGTGAGAAATGATGGACTAATTAGCAATGAAAATGTTAAAATGTCACAGTCGATTTTCCTGAATATAACCACTCTTTGTTTTGATCACTGCAGCGCATATTTTTGGTAATCTTTTGACGAGTTTTTGCAATGTTTGCACAGATATGTTCTTCCAGAACTCGTTAAGGCAATTTCACAGGGCAGGGAGGCTGGTTGGATGCAAATCCTTCACGCGGCGTTTAAGCTCGTCCCACAACAGTTCTATTGGATTAAGATCCGGCGATTGTGCAGGCCACTCAAAAAACCACTTCTGCGAGCAGTAAATGAACCAAAGAGATTGCAATTTGCCAAAACCCACTTAAATTGGACCATCGATCAATGGAAATCAGTTTTATGGACGGATGAGTCAAAATTCGAACTTTTCGGAAATCATCGACGTAGGAAGGGTAATGAAAGACTTAATTCTAAGTGCATTTCGCAACAGGTGAAGCACGGTGGTGGTTCAGTGATGGCTTGGGGTTGTTTTAGATTCAATGGAGTCGGATTGCTTGTCAAAATAGATGGAACTTTAAAGAAAGAACAGTATCATAGCATACTTCAGCGATACGCCATTCAATCTGGTCTTAATTTAATTGGTCCAAAATTTATTTTTCAACAAGATAATGACCCTAAACACACTTCCTGACTCTGTGCCAATTATTTGAAGCGAAAACAAGACGAAAAAATACTTCAAATAATGGAGTGGCCTGTACAATCACCTAATTAAACGCCGCGTGAAGGATTTGCATCCTACCAGCCTCCTTGCCCCGTGGAATTGCCTTAACGAGTCCTGGAAGAACATACCTGCGCAAACATTGCAAAAACTCGTCAAAAGATTACCAAAAATATGCGCTGCAGTGATCAAAGCAAAGGGTGGTCATATTCAGGAAAATCGACTGCAGTGACATTTTAACATTTTCATTGCTAATTAGTCCATCATTTCTCACAAATTGGTTAAAAATCAGTCACTAAATATTAATACTACGTAGAATGTATAAAACTAACTTGAATAAAATTAGTTCTATATGAAAAATATAGCTAAAAACTCAGAAAATAAGATTTTTTTCATGTGTCCAGAAACTTTTGGCCTGTACTGTATATATATATATATATATATATATATATATATATATATATAATGTTTGCTGAAGTGCTTTCAGCCAAAAAACATATTGGAATATAAGAAAATAAAAATATGTATAAGAAGCTGAACTGAAGAAATAATTCATGTAAAATTAAAAAAGTTATAAAAGTTACAAAAGTATTAAGATGACTTAGAATTGAGAATAAAAAATTATACAATAATTTTCTAATATAGATAAGAAAATATTTTACTATGTTTTACTTTAAAATAAATTACTTATATCCATTATTAACCTTTAACCATTTATTTCCAAAATACATACCTGGAAAGATTGAACAGTAACATCAAGCCTAGTTAGCAACATACTTCTTCGCAATTTATATTCTTCTTCCAATTCTATCCGTAAATTTTCTAATTCATCCCACTGTTTTTGATTAAGAGGTTTATTTAACGGTAACAGCGATTTTCCAATACGTTTTGGCCCTATAATTATAATACATTCATATTCTTCATTAATGCCATGTAATGTTCCAAAAAACAGATAGATAAGATACACATTAATATATTCATATTCTTATAAATATAAATATAAAACATTTATCAAATCGAACATGTTTGTCTGAGATTTTCAAAAACTAACAAAATTTCATTAGACCATGCATATAAATAAGAAAGATGCTTATTATTTAGTCTATTATATATAATTTTTTTTTATAAAAATAAGTCTGAAAATTTGAATTATTACAATATATAATGATTTATGTAATTAATTAATGCCGTGTAATGTTTAAAAAAACAGATAGATAAGATACACATTAATATATTCATGTTCTTATAAATATAAATATAAAACATTTATCAAATCGAACATGTTTGTCTGAGATTTTTAACAACTAACAAAATTTCATTAGACCATGCATATAAATAAGAAAGATGCCTATTATTTAGTCTATTATATATAATTTTTTTTCATAAAAATAAGTTTGAAAATTTGAATTATTACAATATATAATGATTTATGTAATTAATTATTGCCGTGTAATGGTTAAAAAACAGATAGATAAGATACACATTAATATGTTCATGTTCTTATAAATATAAATATAAAACATTTATCAAATCGAACATGTTTGTCTGAGATTTTCAACAACTAACGAAATTTCATTAGACCATACATATAAATAAGAAAAATGCCTTTAGTCTATTATATATATAAAAAAAATTATAAAAATATGTCTGAAAATTTTAATTATTACAATATATAATGTATGTATAATAAAATTTATATAATTTACTTTTTAATAATTACCTGCTTGGTTCTTTACATCTTTCATTTTTGTTAATAATTTATCAAATAACATTCTAGTTGTTATATTATCTGGTGGCTTATTAAATCCCAAAGATATTAATATAGATTTTAATGTGTTTGCTGTGGTACTTTCTTGCTGTAATTATAAAAAAATAGTAATATAACTGTCAATTTTTATATGTATGTTAATATTGTTATTCTTATATACCAAATTTATTTGAGGTTTATCAGTAGGTTTATTGATTTCTTCTTTTCTAAAGCACATCAATTCAGATATCAAATAATCAATAAGTAATTTGCGGGCGTCCAAAGATTGTAAACGAGCAGACATAGGACCTAAGATATAAAACACAAAATTAACAAGATCACATGTAATGTGACTAATATTTAATGAAATTGGTTTAAAATTTATAGCACATAAAGGTTAAATTTAAAAAATATAAAATAGAATATTTTTCTACTTTTCACAACTACTTTTTAACACACTATAAGCAGGGCGAGTGAAAATAACCACCTCAAGGACTAGTGCTTACCAGTGGGCCTGGTATTTTTACCTTTTTGAATGTGAATAACTTTACATATTGCATATGAATATATGATGTTAAAAGACCTGGTTGGACCTGGTTAGTTTTTATTTAGATTCAATTCATTTAGTTCTTCATTGTTTGTTTTAGAATTTTAGTATTTAGTATATTTAGTATTTTTATAATTAGCAATATGCAAAATTTAGACATTTTGATAAATTTAATTTGGACAATTTAATGAATATCTAAAATTTACTAAAATCCCATAAGAGCTAATTATACACTTAGACATCAAAATTTAGAATAATTCTTAGTTAAAATGCAGACTTTAATTTTAATATTTTGCATCATATGTATTTAGAATTTTTTATATATGAACTTCATTATATAAATTTTAATTTTCTTTTCGGACATTATAATTTGTTTACATTAGTACAAACTAGATAAAATTTACTAAAATAATTGAAGAGGTTCTTATGGATTTCAGCAAAGTTAGATAAATCTCTTGTTAATTTCATGTTGTTTATTTCTTTCTAAGTAAACTTTTTTATAATCATAGCCTCTTCTCTTTACATTTCAATTAAATATGTAGAATTTAAATTCCACAGCGCATATTTCATTACAAAATTTTACACATATCAGTTTGGCCTGTTTAACCTCCCACTCATAGTGTGTTAATATTCATTTATAACAAATGTATTATTTTTCACACAACAATACTCATAAACTTACCACTAACTAAAAATTGATAAGGGCAGCTCAATTCTTTCAAGAAAGCACTAAGTTCCATCATGAACCCAGATGTATCAACCTCATTTTCAACCTCCTTACACTGTTCAACCTTTTCTTCAAGACCTCCTAAGATTTTAATTTCGTTCGATAACCAAGCTATTAAATTAACAAATGCTACGCTTTTCAATCCTGACTCTAACGCTGTACGCATTGCATTCTCCTCTGTCAAGTTACCTTGATACCTATAATAAAAAGAATAAAAATAAAATAATGAATTGGAATGGTATAAAGTAAAGGGTAATACACATTTCAGTTAAAACTTAACAGGTGTGTAGATTTACATGTTTACACTTAATGAAGCTGAATGTTTACATACACAAAAAATACTAAATACTTAAATGAATATTATTGCAAAATATTAAAAGAATTAATATAATTAATTCAATAGTTACAATGTTTCAAATGATAATAATCTGATTTTGATGAAAAATTCCTGGAAACCAGATGAGACAGAACAGATTTGAGCTTTGTTAAATATTAAGTAGTTTGAAAGTAGATATAAAACTAAGTTCAAATGAAAAACTGAATATATTATATAGAACATATTATATTATCTATTATTTATAAAAATAAAATTATATAAAACTAAATATTCTTTGCCAATGAATATACAATTTTGTTTCTGTAGCTAAATATATGTTATATCAGGCATAGCCCAAATTCTGTAAGTACATTAAATTTTTAAAATAGTTAATATTAAATAAAAAATATATTAAATATGAAAAATCAGAAACCATTGACTAAGTGAAACTTTAGTGTTCCATATAACACAAAGTCATAAGACATATTGATAATAATTTAGCACTACGAATATATACAAAATTAGTGTTTAAGAGCAAATTTTAAATGCCTACTTATACGCAAAGTTCAAAACTAAAAGTTTCGAGATTAAATAAGCAATAAATAACATTACTAGTTCATAAATAATGTTAGTAAAAATGTTATTTTGTGCTCTATTAGTGACACAAAAGTTCAATTTCAGATCATATGTAATTAATACTTAAATATTTCATATTGTCTATGTGACAGAAATTTTAGAACTGAAATTATGAAAAGTTTTCTACATGTTGAATAAAAAAATTAATGAACGTAGACTCAATAAACCAAATGATATCTGATTTAATGTTTTAAGTCTCTATATGGTTAACTCCGAGAAATATTTATCTAACAATAAGCAATTTTATTATATGGTGACAAAAAAGTTCTGCTCTAATATACAAGTAATTCATGCATAAAAATATTATATGATCTATATGATGGAACTTTTAAAATATTATATATGCCATTTTTCTATGTGACGAATAACATACTTAACAACTGTAAACCTAAAAGATAAAAAGAGTATTTATGTTAGTATTTAAAGTCATCATAGTTAAATCCAAAATATACTAATACAGGGAAATATTATCTTTTAGCAATATAGTAAGTAAACAACCAAAAAGTTGTAAACTAATGCATATGCAATCGAGTTTCAATTGTATCATAGAAAACTGTTTAATTAAAGTTATAAACAGCATGACTTCAATTATTATCATTACAATAAATTAGTTATAACCAAACAATATAAAATAGATCAAATATAACAATTTTTTAAAAAAAATCGGTAAACATACCCAATAACTTTGAGATTTTCAACCAAGATATTATAGTTTGCAACACCCATTTTGGATTATGGCACAAAAATATATTACTCGTTATAAAAATATCTATTATCAACAATTGAGAATTTTGTCTTAAATAATATGTATATCAAGTAAAAACTATTTGACCATAATATAACCAAATTTTGATTGACGTCGTTTTGTGCAAAAATAAATTAATTGTAAAACAAGCTAATATATATTTAGAAGTTCGTATTTTCAATCGTTTCGTTATATTACTTAATTTATTTTATAAATTGTTATACTCAAAATAATTAAATTTCACGAAAATTCTTTAAACGTCAGCCGGCTACTTGCGGACACGTTTGCTCGACTGATCTGACATCTATGCGGCTAAACAATGTACTAATATTAAAAAACACAGAAAAAGACCGCGAAAATAATAATTATTCAAAATTTCGGCTTTCAAAATGAGATAAAAATATTACACTATTACACGTTAGTTAAAATACCTGTTAAAATATTATTTTTGTTAAAACTAGTTGTAAGTGACATTTTGTCTTCATGCAAGTGGCATGAGTGGTAAATAATCAATCTAAAATGAATTGAAATTTACTTATTCACACTTATTCAGATTAGTTTTCAACTGTTTATTTCAAAAATGAAATCCAGATGCAAGCTAACTTACATTGTCTGTAATTGTATTAAACCAATTTATTTAGCACATTTCAGGTAATCAGTACGATTATGAGATGCTGGTTTAGGATAAATAAGAAAAAAAAACACGATTTTAGAGAAAAACTAGTGGGCTGCATGGCATCGTGCCTTAAGGCAAATTGCTGGAACTTTCCATACCGTAACAAAATGTTCGAGGAATGTTAAATATTTTCAAATAGATTATTATAAATACTGTAACGGCCCATACTATAACTAACTTACGGGAGGTTAAAAAAATCACGACTTTGAGGGAAAAAATATTTTCGAAATTTTATAAAAGGAATATTTTCTTTTTCTGATATCTGGAAAATTATAAAAACGTAAAAAAGTATAACGTTAGGAAAAATGGCATGAAAACCTACATTTTGATATGATTTTGATCATCCTACTTTTATACATATGTTTCATAATTTTCAAGATATTATGCAGTTGGTTTTAGTAAAAATCCTAAAATATGTTTTTCTTAAAATTATGTTTTGTTTCAAACTCTTTATATTGAAGACTATTTTAGACGAAATACAAATAATTTTAATTTTGTTGGAAATTTCTTTTAAACCAATAATTGATTTAAAAGAAAAAAACATAGCAGATGCATATTTTTTAACCCACACAAAAATGTTTATGATGTAAATATTGAATAATTAATAATAACTATACATAATAACTATTCTTAATACAAAAATAATTTTCCACAAAGAATTCCACTCAAAAACTTAATTCCTTATATAAAGACATGTGCATATATTAAATAATAGAAATAGTTATTCACCCCGAATGTTTCAGATTTTAATAATATTAAATAAAAAACATTAAATGCAAATCAATATAGGATTTTATAAAATTTGGATTAATACCCTAAGTAAAAGCATAGACTAAAATTATAAAAGACAATTAAAATTATTTGGATAACACTGTATGTACAATTTTTATTCTGGATGATGAATTTTTGAAATAACATTCGGTGATTATTTATTGTTTTTCATTTATAACAGTATAAATAAGTTATCCAATTCCATAACTAACTTTTACTAAGCAATATTAAATTCTTGAATTAATTAAAATTTAAACTTTATAAATTAATTAAATCTAATTATAATAAAGCTAATGACCATTTTTCTCTACCATATTTTCATTTATTGGCGTGTGGAGCTAAAATAGAATAATATGATTATTAAGATTCCAGACATTAAATCAAAATGTTTAATTTTGTTCTTACTGCTCTTGCTATATCTATCCAATCCAATGCTTGATCAAATGCATCATTTCTGCTTGGAACTTTATCCCAATTCCAGTAAGTGAATTTATCAAAAGTACCCTTCAAATGTAAATTTCTATCTGTATCTTCTGATAGAGTTTCATTTGATTCATTTAATATTATTCCCGTATATCCCGCAGGGACATCATATACTTTTCCTTGTAAAGGATATCCCCTAAATGAATTGTGTAACACTAAAAAACAATATTGATAATGATTGAAGGATAAAATTTATTATTATATGTGATTTGTATATATAAGTATAAATGCACACAAGTGTACAGACTAAATTATTATTTAACTATTGATCTAGTATGCTGTAGGTGTATCACCATTCAGCAAGTTAGCAAGTTCAAACAAGAAAAAATAATGCAAAATTAATTATGTTTTATAAAAACTAGAGAAGCAATACAATGAAATAAAATGAAACAAAATATAAAAATAAATAATATGTTCAAAAGAACCACATCATTCATACAATAATTAATAGTTACATATAACTAAGTTGCCACCTATTATATACTAGTATAGACATATTATAAAAGATAATAAAATCTTACCTTCAGTATCCTCGTCTTTGTCTATATAATTCTCAAAATATGTGCTTACATTTGCTTCTGCATCAGCTTTTATTTTACATGGTATATGATGTAACTTTGTGTCTTTTTCTTTAAGGGATTTTAGGTAGCTCGGTTCAATATTAATTCGTAACGTCATGATAATATAACTATTAATAACTTAATAAAATTTTGTAAATCCGTCAAGATGAACTTATGCTTATTTTAATTTTGCATCCAAATGTCATTTTTCCCGCTAAGATTATTTGACAACACAGATATTAGTGTGAACTTAGAAACATTTAATAATTGTGGCAAATTTAAATCTGATCCTGTTATATGAGGAGGTTTGTTAATAAAAATAAACCTGCACTAAACATATAAAAAAGACGCTGTAATTCAAAAAGATATTCATGTTTTTTCCAGAAATTCTTATTTGTTAATTGTATGATTTATTGACGTTTCAACTCATTTTGAAATGATTCTTGAAAAAAGTACATGGGTGGCAGTGTTTGTGCCAAAATTTGATTTTTTGCCAACGTTTTCTCAAAAACGACTGCACCGATCTAAAAATTTCAAATGCCATTTGATTCAAAAATGTTTACATCAGCCGAGCCGTTTCTTTATGATTTACAGAAAAAAGCAAAATATTTTGTCACCGTTTTGGCAAAACATTCAGAACCAGTTTTGAAAATTTGATAACCATTCACAAGATGTGAGTTAAAAGCAAATATACTCTTTTTTATCTATGAGTTAAAGATCCTGCTGAATAGTTTTTGGAAAATATGGGACAAGTTATAGGTATTATAATTTTATTGAATATGCAAATAAAATCTGCAATAAACAAATCCATACAACATAATATAGAAATATAATTTATTTCAAATAAATGATATACCAATTCAATTTTGTTTTGGATATACAGTTAATATTATGATAGATTATATATATGTTTTATTTCTAATTTCTTTTTACATATTTAAACTCAAAACATTTGTTGAAATTTAGATTTTTTTATATTTCAGTAATAAAAAGCTAAACAAAGATCTACAATAAAAATTCATTTAGTGATTTCTTTAATCTATGCATACAATATTAATTTAATGCATATAAAATTCATTTTTATAATACACCAAGAGGAAATGATTTTAAATCATTTTTGTTCATCACTTACTAACATTTACATCCCTTTCATAAAAACATGCGCTTTTCGTGAAAAAGCATTTCACAATGGGTTTTCACATTTATAGAGCTTGTTACAAAAACAAATTTGGTGAATGTGAAATGCCCATTAATGAGTAACTAATGATTCATTATCATTCTCTCTCAGGCATTTTTTTTCATAAGTATTTTCATATACAATCTATTACTAAACTATTTCATACTTCTCTGCTACAAATACTTTTTCTATGGAATATTTAACTGCACTTTCTTCATCAATGCTCAAAACATCTTTAGCATCAATGTCGGCATAAGGTGTGGATGACACAAAACTTACATTCACAGGGAAGAAATCTCCTGGAATTGAAGAAGGGCATGAAAATTCTAAACTTCCAGATTTATTCGAAGAGTCAATTATTGGCAAGTTCCACTGAAGAATATTCTTTCGTGCTTCATGGACATATTCACCATCACATTCACTGATTGAAGGAGTGCAACCCATCCTGAAAAGCAAACAGATATATTACAGTAAGATAATCCACAATTATATAAATTAATAGTTTCATTAAGGAGTTCCATGATTGATGAAGTTAAAAATGAAACCAAACACCTAATTATATTTATATAATGTATATACTATGACTATGCATGCTTGATAGGGTTTGTCAGAAAACACTCTGCAGAAGACTTTTGTAACTTTGTTCTACTAAATAACATATAAAATTTTTACTGTCATTAAAATTGAACACTAAATAAATTCAAGCAAAACTTGGTTTAATTTTTATTTTGAATAAAATGTCAGCTCAAAAAACAATGTTCCAACTAAAAAATTTTTCTTATAAGAATTCCAAACCAGGTAAAACTGGTTTATCATACTATTAGAAACCCAGTTTTTTAAAATGTTGATTTTTGTACAAACAGTCAATAAAAATTTGGAAACAACTTAATATTTTGAATTATATACTTACGGAAGAGGAATTGTCACTGTAACATTTTGAAGTTCTAAATTCAATTGCTCCAGCTCATACTCAATATTAACATCGCAACCACCTTCTCCATTTTCTGATGGCCAGCAATTGATAGACAATGGCACAGCAGTCTCATCTTGCGTTTGATAACGCCATTTTAATACTCCAATATCATTGTGCAATGGGAATGGCTTAGCTGGGTTCTTCAAACCTATTTGAAGCTGTGATTTGAAAAGCTCTTTGTCCACATTGGGATGTGTCTGTAAAATGAGATAAAAATATCTTGTAAAGATTTTTTGAATCCTTGAACAAAAACACTCTCATCAAACATAATTATAAGAATTTCTTGATGACACATTTTCGCATACCTGTAACTGAATTCCACGAATATCATTGTTAGCCATCTGCACTTTGATTCGGCCATAACTCTCATTAGATATTCTCAAAGTTAACAGACCAGATAATTCAAAAGATTGAAGACCACCATCTCTGCCAATTCTAATATTCAATCTGTCTTCTAATCTTAAATGCACATCTTCAACATTTTCCTGCTTGGTGACTTTAGCAACTGTAATCGATGTATTACTTGCTGGGGTCAAATTGGTTACTTGCTGACCCTCACTCTTCAATTGATCTACAAAGGAGTCTACATCCCGAGCTTTGCCACCCAGCTTCATTGCATTTTTAGAAACAGGTTTCCTAAAAAAGAATTCTCATGATAAAAGATATTCTTAATATGGCAGTCAGCTAAAATTTAAATTTTTGCACAATTTTTGTTTAAAAAATACATTTCTTCTTATATTAACTTTTGTAATTATATTTTACTAGAAGTAACCATAATCTTTAGGATTATTCTTTTTAAATATCAAAGACAATAGTTTAGTATTCTAAGTACAGGATTGGTTTCAGAACCATCAATGTATATATGCACATAATGAGGTTTTACAACTCTGGATCCAAAAAATTATACTTACTGTGAGCCATATATTGGTTTAGTTTCATGGTTCATCGAATTATTTGCTGTGATAGGCACTGAATTAGAACTAGAGATAATCGCTCCACCTCCAAATCCAGTTTCCATGGAACTTCCTCGTCCTGATCCAGATAAACTTCCAGAGCCCATTCCTCTTTTGTGGGCTTCCATTCTTTGTCTTTGCAATTCTTTTGCCTTTTCACGCATTTTATTCTTCGCTTCACGCTCTTGTGTCTGATAATAATAAACAGATTAGAAATTTCCAAGGGTAGTAAAATTAGTATGTACTTCTCAGAAACTAATCGTGTTATTTATGAAAATAAAAGTAACTTAAAGTAACTAGCTTGAACATATTCCAGCCATAAATAATAAAACAATGAAACAATTGATGGATAATAGCATATTATGTAAAATAACATGTAAATTTGCATACTTGTCTAACAGCCTGGTAGACTTTCTCTTCATGCGAATCCATTTCAACAAATGTTCTTATTTGTGCTAAATTTACACTCTCACGATAGCCAAGAGCAACAATTTCATCAAATGCAAATAATAACAAAATGCATTATCTACAATTTCTTTTTCATCCATAGATCTGCAATATTCTGGAATCTAAGAAATGAAAATATTGATTAGTTACAAATCATTGATCAAAAGTAGGAAAAAACAATTAGAACTTACTACTCTAGAAAACAAGCGCAGGGTCTCTAAATCTTCTAAAATATTACTTGCTTTAGTTGTTATCAGAAGCATGTATAATTTCTCCAAAGGTTGATAAACATATCGTACTGAATCAGTTTCTACAAAAGTATGTTGTTTCCCAGTTGTCATAAGTTTTGGAAATGCTGCAAGTAGCCCTTCTATTCGAGCCTTTGTCATTTCCACAAATTGACGAGATATAATTGCTGGAATGTTAGTTGAATTAAATTAAGAAACTTATATTTAGTTTTGGCTTCATTCAGCGCTAATAACATTTTAGACCAAACTGGAAGCTTACTTCATTGACTAAGCACAAAACTTTATCTACTCACTAATTTACTTATCACAACTAAATTTGATTATATGTTATATTTTATTATATGTAAATCAGTGTCCATAATAGACAAGTCTTGCACACAATTATAATGTTGACATGTATTAAATGAATAAAAATAATACTTCTGGGTCAACTATATTATAGACAGTGAAAATATATAAAAAATACACTCAAAGAAGTCTTGACAAGATTAAAGTATGTAATTCAAGCCTGAAATATTGTACGGCAGACATTCTTAGTTTTGGAAAATTAGTAGCAAAATTGTAATTATTAATTAATAATAACATGTGTAATTACTTTTTCCTGCCTTGGTACATACTGCCGCCGCAATCAGCACCTAAAAAAGGAAAATATAATAAAGATATTTTAAATGACAGTTTGTATATGAGTACAACAAGCAATAGTTCACATATTTTTAAATATTCCTGGGAAATCTTTACCATTTTATGGCGGTTATAAAATACTCTTTAAGCTAAACACACTATTTTTTATTTAAATTATATATTTTCTTAAATTAATTATTAAGATGACGTGTCTGGAAAATGTTGTACAAATAATCTGTCACTTATATTAAACCATTCAGTGTGTGGCGCTGTCAATTTTTTTGTTGTGTTGGCACGATGACAAATCGGGCGGAAAATTTAAAATCTTTCTTGAACAATAAATATAAATAAATTTGAATCATAGACTTTATAAGTACAGTATTTATTTATTTATTTACAGTACTATTTATGATTCTTATTAGTATTTATATACAGTAGATTTATGATTCGAATACATAAATATTTTATTATGTAGTTTTGTAAATAACTTTTTAACATCAAGTCAAAAACATCTATCATACACATTATAAGTAGCAAATTTTTAGCATTTATATTTTGAATTGAATGTATCCAAAAACAAAGATTCACTTGGCAAGTTAAGATTTAAATATAAAATACTCAAGTTAACTTAACATAAAGCCTTTATTTTGTTTTAATTACAATTAGTGCTATTTTAATAATAAAACAGCATGTGCTTTTAAATAAAAATATAACAAAAATTTGATATCATATTTTAAGAACTTATAAACAGAAAATTTTTAATTAAGATTCATAGCATACATCCATTAAAAACATTTAAAATTAATATAATTTCTATTTCAAAATAAATTTGTAATTGTCAATTTAATAAAAATTTAACAATCATCTTAAAAACTTCTAGCTACAGTTCATATAATATGTAAAAAAATATACATATAAGCATTATAAAAATTTTAATTATTTCTTAGGTGGCGGCCTAAACACTCCAACAACGACAGCATGATCTCTTTCATAAGGTTCTAATGTAATTTGCTCTTGTGGTTTTAATTTATCGGCTTGCAATTTTTTAACTTCTGCTGCAAATACTGCTTCTGGTTGTGCCGTGGAATCTATACAGGAAGCCTAAGAAAATATAGAAATAAAGTTAATACAGTGTAGAATACACAAATTATTCATAAAGTTACATTTAGCATATTTTCTTGATTTAATTTTTAAGAATTGTTTTAGTAATTTATTATCAACTGATTGATCACTACACTTGCTTCAGTAACAAATTATATGAAACTGAAATTAATGTAAAAAAAATAGTTTGATCACACAATTAACTTATTTCAATACTTAAGATGTATCAAAGTATCATACTTTTAAGAATTACATTTTACTTCAATCATTGCCATTTTTAATCATTAAAAACTGGGAGTAACAACCTTAGATATAAACATATTTCTTACCTTTATTGAAATTACAAAATGACCTCCATTTTTCAAGAAGTATTGTGAGTTTAAGGCAACTATCCTAGCTTGATCAGGCTGTGCGACATCGGCAAATACTGTATCTACCATTCCTACAAGCATTCTATATTTGTGAGGGTGCCTGGCGTCTTCTATGATTGGAATGATATTTGTACGTTTTTTGGCTACATTAATTAAATCACGGCCTGATCTATGTGAAAATTCTACTGCATACACTAAACCTTCCTGTAAAGAAAAATACATCACATATAATATAAAATCATATCTCTCATTACAATTTTACTGTAGAAATTGTATAAATGAAATTAAGATTAAGATCAATAATTAAAAGAAACATTTGAGCAATTTACTAGTATGCTGTAAAAAAGTTATATTTGTGATATTTATGAGTTTAGTAAGCATGTAGTAAGAAATGCAGGAAAATCTTACCGGTCCAACAACATCTGACACATGTGAAACAGTTGTGCCTGAAGCAGCTCCTAAATATAAAACTTTAGAACCAGGTGGCATATGTATTTGATCTACACCACCAAGAATTGCAGCAGCCAATTTGGATCGGAAAGGATTCCATACACGGTACTCCACTTTTTCTCCATCAGTCTAAAATTAATATAAGATTCAATTAGAGAATGAATTTTATAATACATTGTAGTATTATAAATTGAAAATAGCATATGAATGAAATAAATGTTTAACTATATGCTGTACTGTAAAGCAGTAATACAAGGATGAACTATTTCAAAACAATGGGTTTTAAAGTATAAAATAATATCTGTAAAAAATTTAAAGTCCATTTTATCTACCTCAACACTGATTCTTTTTTCTCCATATACTTCAGATCCAGGTACCATATTAAGAGTTACAAGAGCATCTTCTTTACCACGAGCAATAAAAACTCCTTCATGACGATGGGGTTCAATTACAACAGTTTTTCCTCCTTTGAAACCACCACCTCCACGACCGCGTCCACCTCTACCACCACCACCTCGTGGGGGTCCTCCTCTACCTCCTCGTGGTGGACCACCTCGTCCACGACCTCCAAAACCTTAATAGAAAAGGACACATGTTAAAAACTTAATGGAACTTGACAAAGTTTGGATATATAAATATATAAATTGCCACATATATTAATTTAAATATATTAGTACATAGATAGCAAGTCAGAAAGAAACAACAAATTATATTAGTCTCATTATTCTTAATAACTTGACATATTCAATTCAATGTTATTATCACAAACTGTAACAGCATAAGGTAATTTTAAGATAGTTTAGTACCTGGAGTATAAAAGAATAAATAAAACTGACTTAGAGAAATACGTATACTAATGTTTTTTTTTAAACATTAGTGCTTATTTCTAAAATATTTTACGAGAGAAATTAGAAGATTCAAATATGCATATAAATTAATTGTAACTGAATTGTATATTATACTGAAAATCAAAGTCTTCGAATAATTGATTTATGAATATGACATATTGTAATTTGGAAAAGCATTAGAGGCGAATAAAGTAGTGAATTCTGGGCTAATGTATTAAATCATTGAAAGGTACATTGAGTTTGTATATCCTTAAAAGGAACACAAATTGAGGACTCGTTCAAACAATAATTAAACAAAGAAATGTAATTAATCTTACCTCCTCGACCGCCACCGCCTCCTCGTCCTCCACCAAAGCCGCCACGGCCACCGCCACCGCCGCCGCGTGGAGAGAATCCTTTAAATAAGGTTATTACATTATTAATTTGAAATTTATATTAACAAATAACAAAGTACAATTATATCCGTAGTGAATAAAACAGTAATAAGAAAATATAACATCAGTTTCATATATAAATTTCACATTTACAACACCTAACCTAAAAATTCACACTTAATTTATTTTTAATGGCCAACACTTCGAGTTATATTAAATATTTAATACTTGCCTGGTCTGCCCATATTATTTATTTTTTTAATCCACTATTCTCTTGAGCGTTCACTCCTTTAATACTTTTATGTTTATATTATTTATAATTTAATTTTAAACACACGTGCATTGAAAATTACCACGCACCATAACCACAAATTTTAGTATGGCCAGATTGGCCAGAGATGATTTGTTTTTATTGTTGGTCATACTGAAGGGTTGCCATTAGTCAGTTAAATTTTGAAGTGTTTTGAAATATTTTCAAAAATAAAAAATTGAAATTATTTTTTAAATTATATTTCGAATATATTCATATAAAAAAATTACATCTAGTATAGTTAATAATATATATTGGGTCTCATTTTATTTCATATAACAATGATAATTATTATATGGAATTAGTTTATGATAATTATATATTTGTTTATAAATGTATGAAATACAATTTTTTTTGAAATTAAAGCGTCGATTATATAACGATTCAAAAAAAATAAGTATACAATGGCCGACACATCGAATTAAAAATTGAATAAATATTAACGATTATTAACTTACCAAAAGAGAAGTTTGTTTTCATAAAAAAATCCGATTCGCTAATTTTATGTTTTCTCGACGTTTCAAGCCATTCTGAAATTTGGACAAAGTATGTGTGTGTGTGTATGTGAACAGATTTTTTGCCGTAAATCCACGTTTTATCAAAAACGGCTGGACCGATTTCAAAAATTTAAAAGCCATTCGATGCATCTCGATGAGGACTTTTGCGGTACGATCGGCCGAACTGTTTCTTTGTAAATTGCAGAAAAGAGAAAAAATTTTTGTCCACGTTTTAGCCAGCAATTCTGAATCGATTTTGTAAATTCAAAAGCCGTTCGAAAGATATTGGTTGGGAAAGATACCGATTAGTTTTCGGTAAAGATAGGCCGGGCCGTTTTCTTGTAATAAAGTGTATATTATAATAATATATAAATAATTAAACACTATTTAGATTTTCTTTATAGTATATTATATTATACTTCATAGATATAAGTGTATGTCATATATTAGATTATATAATTGATAGCATAAACTATTCAAATAAAATATAAAATGGTAACTTGGTTAGATTGGAGTGTTTGGACAACTATCATCAGATGAAGAAGTATACATCAAACTCGGGCTGCTTATACTGAATTCAGGATATTCACAAGTCAAAAATTCAGGTTTATTACTTTGCAACTTGCTGGTTTTGTCTAGAATTGTTGAAACTTCTTTGTTGACTCGGTGTCTGTCGCCCTTCTCTAAGGGGTTGGTTTGGTTTATTTCGCATTTCTTTAACAGGTTGTTGTTCTGGCCGATAGGATGGTTGAGGCTGGTATGATTCCTGCTGGTGCTCTGGTTGGTATGATTGCGGTTGGTCAGATTGATATGATTGTTGCTCGGATTGATATGACTGCTGATCGGGTTGGTATGACTGCTGGTCGGCATGGTATGGCTGTTGGTCAGATTGGTATGGCTGATCGGTTTGGTAAGGCTGATGCTGCTCGGTGTTGTATTGTTGGTCATAGTTGTACTGGGAATCAGGTTGATACTGCTGATCAGATTGGTACTGCTCATCATGTTGGTATTGTTGATCTGGTTGGTATTGTTGATCTGAATGGTACTGTTGATCGGGTTGGTACTGTTGGTCGGATTGGTACTGTTGATCTGATTGGTACTGAGGATCGGATTGATACTGTGGATCGGATTGATACTGTGGATCGGATTGGTACTGTTGATCAGATTGATACTGCTGTCCGATTTCGTAAGGCTGTTCTGATTGATATTGTTGGTCTGGTTGGAAGGAATTACTTTGATACAGCTGTTCAGGTTGGTATTGTTGATCAGATTCATAGGGTTGTTCAGACTTATATGGCTGTTCGGATTGGTATTCATCTGATCGATATTGCTGCTCTTGTTCAGGCTGATTTGACTGATATGACTGATCTCCGGATTGATATAACTGCTGCTCATTCTGGGTTGGATATTTGTGATCGGATCCATAAGGTTGCTCTGACTTTTGGTCATACTGTTTTTTAGAATCAAGTTCTTTCTGGGTTGGATATCTTTTATCGGATCCATAAGGTTGCTCTGACTTTTGCTCATACTGTTTGTTAGATTCAAATTCTTGCTCTTCGTCATACTGTCCAAATTCTTTTCCTTCGAATGACTCTTTTTTAATGGCGTGCTTGTCAACATTTTTGACTGGTTCTTCCAAGTCCAACTCGTTTCTGATAGTTTCTTGTCGTTTTTCGAAACTTCTATCTTTTGGCTTTGGTAATTCGGCCTCAAAGTTTGATGATACTCTTTCAGGTTCTCTTTCGGGCTTTGGTGATTGTTGCTGCTGTACACTTTGTGTGGTGATTGGTTGACTTGGTGATTGTTTGATTTGCGTGATTGAGGAGGCGTTTGACTCCCGAGACTCGGGCCGGTGATTATTGTGCTGCATGACTGGAAAACATAGAAGCTTAATAAAAGTTACATATAAAAAATTATAAATTAGGCTAGACTATAAATTAGATTAGACATGTTGATTAGTAAATGATCAAAATAACGAATGATAGAGTTCTAAATATTACATTTAATGAATACTTGGCATGCACATAAATATGTTGAAATATTTTTTAAGTTTATTATATTTATTTTTTAATTGGTGCTTCTATTTTAATTTTTTTCTTCTAAAATATTGATAGCAAGTATATTAATGTGTATGATTAATGGAAATTCTTAACATAAAGTAATATCATAAAGATAGTTAAAATATGTTATTATGTATTATTATACTCGCAGCATTCAAATTTGATCTATTGCATTAAAAATAGAATTCAATTGTTACTAACAATATTTAAAGTATAAAAAATAGAATTTTTTCAAGGAAAATATTATATTATATATAAAAAAAGTGCCAAAGAGTGTAATACGACGCGCTTTAAGTACTGACATTAAAAGAGGAGAGTATTTTCATATTTGTCATACTATTACTAAAGATATTTAGATAATTTAGTACAAAAAATCAAACAAACGATTCATGCAATTTTTTAATCTTTGAGAACTACTATCAATATAATATATTATTATAATGCTCGTAATTAATTTTTATTTGATAATTAAATAATAATAATAACTGAAACTGAAACAAACATAAGTACAAAATGCTATGTTACATTAGTCTACAACACTACATATAGGCCTAATAACGCTAGATATATACCTGGCGTTTTGTTAATACTACTAAGAGCTTCATTAGATATTATTTTGCTAGTTAGATATTGGATATTGGTTTGAAGATTATTTATCTCCTGTCTGAAACACACAAAAACACACAAAATTAATTACAACCTAATAATGGTTTTTCTAAAGTACCTGATTATCTGAATCACTTGCAATATCAGAGTTATAATTATAGTTAAGCTTCTTATAGCTCTCCCAAACTAGTCGTAATTTTTCCATCAGATCGGCATTTACCGCTTTTAAATGGATTTTGTCATTCCTACAAAAATATATAACAATAAAAAATGTAGACATAAGAGATTTCGAAGTTGTAATTAACTTAACTTTATAGATAAATCAATACAAAAATTGAGGATCCGACCAAGTAAAAATCACGGATAATGGAAATTTATAGAAACATCTAAAACACAAAGTCTATAAAGCTTATAATTTTTAATTAAGAAATAGAAGATTTTAAACAAAACTTTGATATAATAAGTTAATATATGAAAAAGAGTTTAAAAAGTGTAGTTGAAAAGTGAAATAAAATTTTGAAGAAAAGTGAATATGGGGGAAGATATTATTGATAGTAAAACCAAAAAAAAATGGCACCAGTAAAATAAAAAATCCCTAAGGGTAAAGAGTTTACAATTTAGCATGTAATTTATTTTAACTGCAATTAGAATTTCTCATTCTATAAGCTATTTAAGTTTATTATTCTGTGAAAGTTGTTTTTACTGATGGCTATTAGAATCAGCACAATGTCCATTTTCTTATTTATAGTTTTAATTTCTTCTGCAGGAATGTTTGGAAGTGCTTTCTTCGCTTGGAAACATATGCATGAGGTGAAAATGGATATCACTTCTACTTGATACCAGATAGCACATATAAATATGTAACCCTTTGTAACACAAACATAAATATATAACCCTTCAAAAAGGTTCATTAAAATTTTATTAATAAGTTGATACCATTATACAGATGCCTCTAAAGAAACAAAATACAATTATATACATAATAAGTATATTTTTATAATATGCATACAATTAGTGTAATGATTCTTAATACTGAAAAAATCACAGTAATATAATATTTAATATAATTTCAATTCCATAACATGCATTAAATACTTCAATTATATAATATCAACAAAAATTCCTGTACGTTTTTCCTTATATTTTTTATAAAGCAGTTTTAATTTTATCTTAAAAAAAAACGATTCCAAAAAATATTAATTCAGTACGGATAAAATATTGAAATTACTAAATTTTATGACCTTGTCATAACATTTACATTTTACATTGTCATATGCTTTTTACTTCTAAATTAATTATTTTCCAAATTATTAATATCAAAAAATGAATATATCACATTATATCAATTGCACACTTATAATGTAAATAAAATAGTAGAATCAAGTTCCAATAATATTACAGAAAATTTAAATTTGTTTCAAATGATTGTAATGACATATAGCTTTCTGTCTAATTTTTTGCATCAAGAATTTTAATAAAACGGTTATTTATTTAGGTTGTTATCAAAAAACAAATTATAATCCAATTATTTCTTTATTTGTTCAAAAAAAAGAAAGTTTCCGCAGAGACAACCGCAAGAAACGAGCAGAGACATACCCAGACAAAAGACCTAGTTTGGTATGTTTATTGTTTTTGCTATAACTCTATATTATTTTACGCTTTTGTTAAAAAAATAAAGTCAAATCAGTTACAAACGTCGAAAAATCGAAAAAAAAAAATTAAATACCACGAAAATAACTAAAAATAATAAAGAGTCAAAATAATTTTCTTCGTACGGATCATATTTTTTGGAATCAAAAATATAATATTTGTTAATTATATAATGAACAAATTTCTTGCTAATTACTAATTATCATCTACTAGGTGCTGTTGATCTACTTGGGTC